TATCTTCTGGTGTGTCCTTGCACTTATTACAGGTTCCTTGTCTCTTTTGGTTTCTCCTTTGCCATCTTCCAGTGTCTTCCTACTTTAAAGGGTTGTGAGCAAAGGAAATGTAGTTCTATGGGGCCCTCTCTTGGCCTAATATAGTAATTTACTTCTGCACTACTCATAAGCACACAACTATTTTTATGAATGAATTCAAGATCAGTCTCATAACTTGGTTTTGTTTGGGACCAAAACTGTTGTCAGTGTTGCTAATGTTGCTCTAATCACTGTGGTTGCTATCTAGCAGGTTGGGTTTTTTTGTGTATGGTTTTGGAGGCTGAATCCTAGGTGCTGTGCAGAGGTGTGTATATAGTTCAAATCTAGCAAACCAATTGCTGCAAGACAGTGCTGGTCCCAGTTTTTTTTTATAAAGACAAGAAAATTAAAAATTTATCATGCTATGTTTTACTGCAGGACAAGTGTTCAGTAAGGAAGAGTGGTCTGAAGATGATTATAAAACTAGGAACATAGCTGAAAAGCAAAGATGAGATTATTCATATCCCTAGTTTCACCTTTGGCTCAAGACTTTGGATCATGTACTGCTAATGTCAGTCACTTTATTCCTACTAGATGACCCACTTAGTTGATGAATGAAAGGCTGTGGATGTTTTCTCCCTGATTTCAGTAAAGCCTTTGATACCACCACCCACACGATCCTCCTGGAGAAATAGGTTACTCAAGGCTTGGGTGGATGTTAACTAGGTTAAAAACTGTCTAGATGGCTGGGCCCAGAGCGTGGTGGTGAGTGGAGTTACATCCAGCTGGCAGCTGGTCACCCGTGGTGTTCCCCGGGGCTCAGTGCTAGGGCCAGTCCTGCTCAACATCTTCACCTATGACCTGGGCAAGGGGATTGAGAACACCCTCAGTCACTTCACACACAACACCAAGTTGGGCAGAATATTGACCTGCTGAGGGTAGAAAGGCTCTGCCGAGGGATCTGGAGAGGTGGGAAAGCTGCCCAGCAGGAAAAGACCTGGGGTTGCTAGTTGACAGTGGCTTAAGAGCAGGTGGCAGTGCCCAGGTGGCCAAATGGCCAAGGGCACCCTGGCCTGTATCAGCAATGGTGTGGCCAGCAGGAGCAGGGCAGTGATTGTCCCCCTGGACTCAGCACTGGTGAGGCCACAAGTATCGATTACTGGGCTCAGTTTTGGGCCCCCCACCATAAGACATTAAGGGGCTGGGGCGTGTCCAGAGAGGGAATGGAACAGAGTTGGAGAAGGGTCTGTAGCTCAAGCCTGATGAGGAGGAGCAGCTGAGGGAGCTGGGGCTGTTGAACCTGGAAAAAACAGGGTTCAGGGGTGACCTTACTGCTTTCTACAACTGCTTGAAAGGAGGGTTGTAGCCAGGTGGGGGGTGGGGGTCAACCTCTTCCTCTTGATGACAAGAAATAGGACCAGAGAAAATTGCCTCAAGTTGTGCCAGGGTAGGTTTAGACTTGGTATTAGGATAAGTTTTTTTGCTGAAAATGGCAGGGGTCAGGTATTAGAACAGCCTGCCCAGGGAAGTGATGAGTCTCCATCCCTGGAGGTATTTAAGAGGCCACTTGGTGTGGCACTTACAGACATGATTTAGTGGTAGACTTGGCAGTGCTGAGTTAATGGTTAGACTCCATGATAAGTTTGAATAAAAATTCCAAATATTGTGCTTACCATCTAGGATTGGAGGTTCTGTCTTAAAGCTGATGGTGCTCATGACATACTTTGCTGTGAATAGAAGCTGTGAGGGTATTTGCCTTTTTCCCATGAGCACTTTACTGTGTTCTGTTCTCAGCCCCTGTGTTACATGTGTCACAAGCCCTTGCTGCAGGAGTGCCCCAGGTGGTTCTTCAGACTACTGGTCACAACTTCCTCAGAAAAAGTCATCAGCAGGCTGGAGTGACAAGTTGCCTCCATGCAGCCTTACTGCTCACACTGAGGTTTTGTCTTCATTATACTTGACAGCACAGTAATACAGCTCTAGCCTCCTGAAATCTTCTGAAAACCTCCTGTAGAGGAGACTCCACAATGTCCATTGACAGCTTCTTTCAGTGTTTTCCTTTTCAACTAATGAGCAAGTTTTCCTAGTTGTGCCTCATCATTGTAGACATTTAACGAGATTTTTTTCCTCCTGCTTTTCCCAGTGAACATGGAGAGAGCATTTACTGTCTCTTTTCAGAAGAACTCCTGCTGCATCAGAAGACTGTTAAAGAGTTGTCCCATAGTAGTGTCTTTCAGAGTAAGACCAGCTCTCTTGGCTTTTCAGCAACAGTCTTATTTTCCAAATACCTGAGCAGTTTATGTTCTTTTGGACTTGCTCCTCTATCTAAACTTTTCTCAGCGTGGCCCCAGTGCTGGGTCCAGCTCTCCTTAGGAAAGCCTGTGCTCCTACCCTTTGCTTTCAACATCCTTAATAATAGGTCTCAGAAAGTGATTTGTGCGCTTTGTATTGCCATTGCATTTTGCAGCTCACTGCAGTCCCCAAATGTTGTTCTTCCCCTATGTGTATATGATTTGCACCTCCTAAATATAGCACTTCCTCTTACTGTAGAAATGTTCTGAAATAGGTTCTTCAAGAGTGCCTATAACTTTGATCTTGTCCTATGTGATTACAGCCTCTTCCTTCCAGGTGTGTTACACTATTTTACAATCATGAAAATACTTGGTAGAACCAAGGCAAAGCCCAGTGCCTGCAGAAATAACGTGAAGTGCCCTCCCAGGACAACAGTAAACTATAAGAATGAAAACTTTTCCTTGAGGATGACTTTCTTTAGTCCCTTGTGATGCCACTTTAGATTAAGTATGTCTCAGGAGTTTGATGGAATGTCCCAGGACCGGAATCCTGCTGCAGCAGCGGTGCTTTTTTAACTGCTCAGCCAGGTGTCTGTCAGAAGATTATTAAATTTGATTGATTTGCTATTTTGGCAAAAACCTGGGTAGGTTTTGTTGTTTTGTTCTAAATGTTACTTTGTAGTAATTTGTGTTTGCAAATTAGCTGTTTGGTGATTTGTTCCAGAATTATTTTAGGATTGGAAATTAGGTAGGCTCTGTCTGCCCCCTGCATATTTCCAGGAGCCATGCACTAAGTCATTCACATACCTTCTACTTTACTGGGGTTGCTATCCTACCCTTTTTGCTGAATGGGTTATGTTCTGTACCTGAAAAATATTTAGTCAGTGGCACTTTTAGTGAAGGTTAATGCAAAAGAAGTAGGAACACTTTAATCAGGCTATTTGTTCTCCTTCCTTGTGTGGTGCTTTATCTCTTCCATTGTTTGTTATCTTGTATTTTTAAGGTATTTATATTTTTCCTTCTGTTTTAGATTCTTACTAACTGAAGTTTCTTTAGCTCCTTGGTATTTCTGATGGTAATATGTGCCTTTCCTTTTCCTATATAGTTGCCCTTAGTCTCATAATTGTGTTACCACTTTTTACTGTGATCATTTTCTAATTTTCCAGTCGTTAGAGAACTTTGTGAACAGCCATAATGGCCTGGGCTTTATGCCTTTTCTTTGAGTGGAAATTGCTTTGGTTTGGATTTTTTCAGGTGGATTTTTCTTTGCTTTTGTTTTGTTTCTGGGGGCTTTTTGTTATTTTTTTTTTAAGTCTGCTGTCCTTTCTCTACTGTTGTCACATCTTAGAAATACTAAAACCCATTTCATGATCACTGTCACCTAGATTACCTTCCCCTTCCAGTTCTCAATCAATTCTTCTTTATTAGTCTAGGTGAAATCCGTAATCAATATTCCTAGCTATTTGTAAATCCAGGGATGTTCAAGGCTTGTTGTGACTGCTGCAGGCAAGAGGCCATGTCTCAGCAGCTCTCTACCCATATCTGTTCTGCAGCATGAAGAAGTGTTGTAAAAGTTAAATCCAGGCCTGCATTTGAAATATGGAGTACTGCTTAAATTTCAAGGGAAATGGGTAAATGCATTTCTGTTTGCAAGTGTTTGCTTTCCAGACGATACCTCATACATCTTTGAAAAGCTCAAGGTAAAACCTCATGTCATCAGTTAACTGGATTTTCCTTAAGTGTTTCTACCTTGCAAGCACAGGAAGGACAAGAATATGGATGTTTTTTAAAAGATCATTACTCCTGTTCCAGTTTCTGGAGTACAGAGGAGAAAATGTGCATGAACACACTCACAAAGCCATGTGTGTATGTATGTGTGTGTTTGCAGAATCCTCAGGTTCCAGTTTCCCTTCCACAAGCCACTGCATGCAAGAGCATAGCACAGTATTTTCAGCCTCTCTTTGGTCCTTATTTTCTATCATCCTTATTATATAAGAGACTGCAGTTCTTGCATTTATTTGAGAGAAGCTGCCATGCCTTGCCATGATTTGGCAAGGATTTCAAAATCCCACAGGAGAAAGTATTACAACTCTGCAGGAAATGGTTTTACTCACCTGAGTGCTGATAAGGGGTGATTGTACTGTATGCTTTCACTTTGAGCACTTTTATCAATGTTTCTGACTTCTGGATGTGTTTTTCTGTGCTCACAGTCATTTAAAGAGGTGAGGAGTCAATGTTTAAAGTTGTGTAAATGCTGAAATTTGTTTGAGTTTTGAACTTTGTTTTTATTAGTAGTGTGGTTTAGCTTTGGCAGTGTTGAGCTGTCTCAATTCCCTTTGTAAATGGGGATTGCTTTTGGTCCTTAACACATCTTGTAGTTAAAATACAAATTCTAGTCTCATAACTGGGTTTAAATGTCTGACAGAAAGCAGCAGAGTCCAGCAATTCTAAGATGCATTGACACAATATGATCTAACAGAATATGTGTCAGCAACATTGCCCAGATACCAAACTTAAAAAAAAAATTCCATTGGACTACTGTATACATTTTTTAAATTTCAAAATAGCTACTTCAGCAACAACATGCTGCCCAATATTTAGTATGTATGACAGACTGGATCCTTCATGACCATGCTGATCTATTGGGTGCATAATGTGTTCCACTTCTCTTTTTGTATGTATGCATAAATAGAAAGTAAATTGATTTGAATCTCGGTGTGTTTTTTGAAAATGTGCAGATGCCAGTTAGAGTAGATAATATATGCTGCCTATTTTGTCTGCTAAGAAGTGGTGAAATGCGTGTGCATGTAAAGGAGGTTGGGTGGGGGGTGGAGAGACAGTCTTGAGGGACAGGAAAAGAGGTAATGAAGGTATTAGTTTGTAAATCAGACTATCTGTGTTTCGTAATCCCATAACAGTTTTCTGGTAGATAAGGACGGGAGTAGTGCAAGCAAGGGACCTCACCCTTCCTAATGTCAGAGGCTTAGTACCCTCTGAAAGCAAGACTGGGGGCTTTCTGGTAAATTTTTTTTAAAAACCCAGTATTTTTTGGTTTTTTTATTATTATCAATGCCTTGTCCTCTCTCTTGCCTGTGTGCAAACCATTATATTAAGATTGTATGACGAGGCCAGGAGTCAGGACTGCAGAATATGGTTGTCCAGCAAATGGGAAACTGGGGCTGAGTGGTCACACTATTAATTTGCTTTTCTGTTTTGTGTTTCCTTCCTTCTGCTCCTCCTACAACACTTCTGGCATTTCAGGTTTCTAAAGTCAACGGGGTCACTCGAATGTCATCTCCGAGTGCAAATGCAGCCAGTGCCAAAAAGATGAGAGAAGTCAGACCTTCACCGTCCAAAACTGTGAAGTACACTGCAACAGTGACAAAGGGAACTGTCACATACACCAAAGCCAAGAAAGAACTGGTCAAGGAAACCAAACTAAATCACCACAAACCCAGTTCACCTGTCAACCACACAATCTCAGGGAAAATAGAAAGTAGCAATGCAAAAACCCGCAAACAGGTGCTATCCCTTGGAGCATCCAAGTCTAACAATACCGCTGTTAATGGTGTAAAAGTCAATGGCAAGTTGAACCAAAAGACATGCACTAAGGAGGTGGGGAGACAGTTAAGGGAGGGGCTGCGCAACTCAAAGAGGAGGCTGGAAGAGACGAATCACATAGACAAAATACCGTCGCCCACCAAGAGAATGAAAGGGGCCGTCAACTTGGCAGAAGCTGTCAGCAAAAAGGCAGCAGTAGAAAAGCCTTTGCTGAATGGACATCTTAGAAAGGAAGTGCCAGAGAAGAGTTTGGAAAGAAATAGGCCGAAAAGAGCCACTGCTGGAAAGAGTATGCCAGGGAAACAAGCACATGGCAAAACTGAAAATGCCTCCTGTGAAAATCGTTCTACCTCTCAAGCGGAGTCCTTGCACAAGCCACAAGACTCAATGGGAAAGCACGAAAAGGGCAGTAGTAAGTCTGGGTGGGGGATGCTGGGGGAGATTCCCATCCTTAGGCCCTCCACCAAGGAATTTCATGACCCACTGATATACATTGAGTCAGTCCGAGCTCAGGTAGAGAAGTATGGGATGTGCAGGGTGATTCCTCCTCCAGACTGGAGACTTGAGTGCAAGCTAAATGATGAAATGCGGTTTGTGACACAGATTCAGCACATACACAAGCTAGGCAGGCGCTGGGGACCCAACGTGCAGCGGCTGGCCTGTATCAAGAAGCACCTCAAATCTCAGGGCATTACCATGGATGAACTCCCACTCATAGGTAAGAGCTGTGATTCCTTGGCTTTTGGCCGCTGCTTGCAAGTGTGCATATACGACTTTATGCTCTTTTTGCCTTTATGCTTAATCAAACCCCTGTTCTGCAGAGAACTGCAGAGTTCTGAGTCTCTCTCTTTTTCCACTGGCCAGGCATGATGCAGGTAGGTTGTCAGGAAGCTTTCCAGGTCAACTTCATATCACCATTTTCATCCCTGTTTGACCCAGGGTAAAAGGAAACTGCTCCATGGGACCTTGGTGTGCAGATTTTAAAATTTTCTTCTTTCCCTGCTGTTTATTTATGTGGGTAGTATGACTGTGTATAGTGATAGCCTTGTTTTAAAGGTTGTTTCAGAATATTTTTTGGACCTTTCCAAAGATGTTGTCCTAACAGGTTGCAATGCTGCCAGGCTTTAATACATTTTTCTCCCCGCCTCTTCCTTTAAAAACATTTAACTAAAGGGGAAAGAAAATATCTCAGAACTGACTTGTGTTTGGGTACTCAGACACTTAAAATCACAAATTTGCAGTGACCTGCTGACATTTAACAACCATTAAGTGTCAAGAATAGGCAGTAAAACGTAGTTGATTGCAAAATGGAGGTTTCATTATTTCTCCCAGCAGGTGTCTGCCAGGGCTAATGCCTGAGTGAGAATCACTTATTTAACAGAATTCTTGGTTTATGGTCTGCTGTCAGATATGACACGTGACAAAAATGTGACAATAGTTTGTAAAAACATGACAACAGCAGCATACAAATGAACTATTGGATGAGCTACCTCCATCTCTACTGCCTTTGCAGACACTACATTGTAAGAAACCTGTGTTTTTGATTTTTGTAAGTTTTTCCATTTGTTTTTGAGGTGTTTTGAGATACAAGCTAGCATGACCTGCGTGTTGCAACTCAAAGCTTGAGTTTTGCCTTTGAGGCATTATCTGACCCAAGGCAGCTTTCAGCACTGGTTGGATTAAAGGACATGCTTTTCTGTTTAAACAATTCACAACACTTCTTTCCCCCACCTCCTTCTTTTTAAACTTTGTTTTATATCACATATGGCAAGTGAGGGAAAATGCATAAAATATACAAAATGATTGCAGACTTTATGGTGAACTGATGCAGGGCACAGCAGAGAAATAACAAAATTTCAAGGAGGAGGAACGACGGGTTAGTACTTCGTTGCAATAGCCATGCAAAAATGTTCAAGGAAATCTGAAAATTAAAATCACTCAAGCAGCAATAAATGAACATTCTGTATGCCTAATGTATGCAATGGTTGTATGCTAATGGAAAAGAATAATGAATTACATTTACATTGGCAAGAGAGAGAAGAAAATGTGCAAGACAGCTCGATTAACGCTCCTGGAACAATGTTAACTTTTAATGAAATACCTTAACTCGGCATTAAGATGGCATTACTGTTAATTATTTGTATTATTTAAGCACCTAAGAGCCTAATGAATAGGCAAGGATTCTATTCTGTTGGGTGCCATATAACCAGAGCAAACAGTGATCTCTTACAAATTTGCATCCTATGTATGCTTTCTGCAGTTAGTTTCCTACCTATCCTGTGTTTAAAATCAAAAACAAAATGGAGAAAAGAAGCTGAAGATCATCAGTGCACAAAGAGGAAAAATCTGTTGGTTCAATCAGGAAACATATAAAATAATCTGTGGTGATAAATGTACACTTATTTAAGTAGACATGCATACCTAGCCCTTCTCTCCAGGCCAAATCACATTTCCATTGAAGTAAGTGGGACTTTTGCCAATGGCTTGTGTAGTGCCAACATTTGGTATTAAGTGCATACCTGAAGAATTAAAATTTTTGTTTTTAAAATGAGCTTGCTCACTAAGCAATTTAAAAATATTCCTAACTTAGGGAAATTAAGGCAATTAAAAATAAATAATGTTAAACACTGCTTCTGCACAATGTGCCAGATCTCCTATTTAAGCCTTTTTGCTATAGGTGCTTTTAAAGAACTCCTTTTTGTTGTTGTTGTTGTTGGGTTTTTCCCCTTCTTTTTTTTTTTTTTTTTTTTTTTTTTTTTTTTTTTTTTTTTTTTTTTTTTTTTTTTTTTTTTTTTTTTTTTTTTTTCAGTCTTTCAAGGAAAGTTTAAGCAGCAAGCATAGGTCAATCCTGGATTGAGATATAAATGTTTCCAAAAGTTATGACTGTGTGAAATGGAATTATAATTGAGAGCATTTTGCAAACCTTAGCTGTAGGCTCTGGTTGAATGAAATGCTACTCAAGCTCTAATATTGCAGAGTGATTATGAGTGATCATTCCATGATGCAGGATAAAATTGAATTTTCAACAGTGCTGAAATTAGGACCTTAAACTGAGTATGTGTTGGAGAAAACATATAATGGTAAATCTGGGCCACACTTCTTTCTAAGTTTGGGAGTATGTTACCCAACTTTATGCAGATTGCTGAATCTGCTGGCATGGAAAGTCATCTCTTGAGTTACGCCTTCAGCTTATTGTGGCCTGCACGTAGAAACCACTGACCACTGACCACTGACAAAAGAAGTAACCAAAAAGGAGCCATCTCGAAAGTTACGTTTACATTGTGTTATGTAAGGAAGATAAAAGAGGAAAGAAAGAAATCTTTCCGAACTCATTTTGTTTTTTCTCCCAATGGTGTTCACTTTTTCTCAGCTTCAAGACCTTTTTAAAATCTCCCCCACCCTATTCCCAAATGTACTAAATAGGATAAATCTGTTACCTCGTGGTCCTATCTCCACCTATATCATATTCTACTCAAAGCCTTATGCTTGGTTTTGTCTGCAGCCAAACACCTTTGCCTTGTGTTGTGTGGGCAGTATAAATGCAGCACAGGGTAGTTTGAAAAAGTAATATGGCAAGATGATATGAGTTAAGATGATGTAGCTGTGCATCCTACAGTAAATATTTACAATAATGTTGCTTCTTGCCCTCCTCTGTTGCAGTAGCATTTCTGAGTGCTCTGAAATGGCTATGGCATGATGATTCTTTACTCTTCTCAGAGACAAAGGCAAAGGGGAGACAGTGTGGCGGCAAGAGATGTTGACGCTGGTTTTGTATTAATTCTCTTTTTTCCTTGAACAGCGCCTTGTTGAATTGTAGGTGGTCTTTGGGCTGTTTCTTCACTCTTTCCACTGATTATTTATTTCTGTGCTTTCAGAGTATTTATGATTCTTTTATTGTTCCTCATCCATTTGGCTGCTTTTTATGCTGCAGTTTGTATAATCTTTTTTTTTAATTTTTTTTTTTTAATTTTATTTTTGGACTGGAGTGTGAAATGTGCTAGTCATCTTAAAACATACAAAACCAGAATGGAGTATAAAATATGGATGGCCTCAGACTGGAAGAATAATGTGTCTGGAACTTTTTATGCAGTTGCAGGCTCCAACCCCAAACAACCCCTTGCCTCCCTTTGATTTTTATATGGATTTTATTACCTGTAGTGACATTAATATTGTGCTCCTTTTAAATACTAACTTCATTCAAGGTGTTGTGCAGATATTAGATAATTGTTATTTCACCTCCAGAAGGGATAGGTATTTGTCTTTCTGATGACCAGTACCCCAGCTTGACCGTGGTTTTGTTTATTCCTGGTATGAGCCAGATGTGGGACTGGTGATGGGTGAGGGTGTGTGGGCTTTTACAGAGACGGGCAGCCCTCATCTGCCCAGCCAGTGGTAATGACCAGGGCACGCATGCACGTCAAGGAAATAGCTTGGGGTGAAAAGAAGGGCATGAAACTCAAGGAGGAGAGGAAACTGGATCATAGGGAAGACTGCTGCAAGTAGCAGAATGCGGCCTGTGAATGAATTAAGCTGGCAAAACAGTGGTGTGTGCCTCTCTTTAGCAGGAGGCACATAGGTGCCTGGAGCCGTCACATCCCCTGTGTGCCCAGCCTGGTAGCACATTTGACATGAGCTGCCCACAGCTAATCTAATCCTAATCTACTCCTGTGTTTCCCTTTTCCCTTCCTCTGCTGCCTGGCACATGTGAATCCCAGGAGGCTGCGAGCTCGACCTGGCCTGCTTCGTCCAGCTGATCAACGAGATGGGGGGGATGCAGCAAGTGACTGACCTCAAGAAATGGAACAAGCTGGCAGACATGCTGCGCATCCCCAAAACTGCACAGGACAGGCTGGCCAAGCTACAAGAAGCCTACTGCCAGTACTTGCTCTCCTATGACTCCCTCTCCCCTGAGGAGCACAAGAAACTGGAGAAGGAGGTCTTGCTGGAAAAGGAAATCCTGGAGAAGAGGAAAGGACCTTTGGAGGGACATTCAGAGAATGCCTACAAGTTCCATTCCTTGCCCCGGTTTGAGCCCAAAAATGGACTCATCAATGGCGTGGTTCACAAAAATGGCTTCCGCAACAAGTTAAAAGAGGTCGATGTCCCACTGAAGACGGGCAGGCGGCGGCTCTTTGCTCAGGAAAAGGAGACCACGAAGGAGGACGAGGAGGATGAGGAGGAGGGAGTTCTTAGCGACTTACACAAGTGTATATACAAGGTAATGAGGCTGGCCCTGCCCACTCTGTTCTGTAGAGCCGATGATGCTGCTGTGTGGGTGGTGTCTGGGTGCATACCCAGCTGGCTGAGGGGAGCTGATGGGTTGCAGTGCCATCCCTGAGGCAGCAGTTGTCCTGATTCTCATGGCCAGGCAGTCTGGTGGCTTTGTCCTGATATGCCTGGCTCTTGCAGGATGTCTGGAAAAGCTGGGAGGCATTATTGTCACAACAAGATGCACTGGGCTCTGCCCCCCTTCAGCTCCTTGTAAGAGGCTCCCTGAATACCTCTGCCCAATTATCCTTGCAGACACAGATTTTATTTTCATTTTCTAGTGACATTTAATGTTCTGCTTTCTCATTCCTGCTTCTTGCAAATATCTTGTTGAGTGAAGTAGTGCTGCACATCAGAATGAACATCACTAGAACTACTACATTTAGAAAGGGTAAATTGAAATGCAAACAGTATTTTCATCCACGATGCCAGACGTTGCTCAGCACTAACAGTCACATATCAAGTACATCCATTTACAAAGGAATGCTGACTCTTTCACTGTATTTTATTTGGCAGTCTCCTGCTCTGGAGCAGGACTTGGCGCTGCAGCTCACAGTGTAATTTTGAGTTGAGTTGAATGGTGTAGCCACACTCTGAGAGAAATATAGCATTGAGTGTCCGTGCCCAGTAAAGAAATATGCTGTTCTTCCCCTTCCAATCTCACTTCCATCACCAGGAAATGAAGCCAAATAGCCCAAAGTGACTTATTGTTAAGCTATTTAGGACTGCATGAGCTCACAATTTGGGCTTTAAAAGCTTGCTTCAGTTTTATTTTGCAGCCTGTTATGATTTGTCAGCCCAAAAATTATTTTTACTGGGAACTCTGGCCTCAATCCCACCTTTGAAAAGCAATCTCTTTGCCATCCTGCCCTTGGAGAGAAGCTTTTCTAATGACTGCAGCTTTTGTGAATAGTGAAGTGTCACTTCTGTGCTTAATATCCTGTGCTTAATGACAGTTAAATGAATAACTTGATAAACCTTACCCTGACTCTGCTGCATGAACAACCTCAAACTTAGTGGGAGAATGTTTTTTTCTTTTTTCTGGTGCAAGTCCCACTTCAAAGTTCAGTAGATACAAAGTCACTCAAAAAGGAAGATTGAGATTTGTGAGCAGTATCCTAGTTGGATTTAGGAAGTAAAAAAAAAGCAAGCAAGCAAGCAAAGTGTAGCTGGTATAACCGTCCGAGTTTGCTGAGTACCAGGCCTTTACCCCAAAAGGCAGAAAGCTCCCAGAATTTCTGCCTGGTCACCCAAAAAAGCACTGGAAGTACGGGCAGCATCAGACTCTGTCTGAGTCTGGCAATACCAGGTAGAAATACTTTTGTCCTGAGCATAGAGGCTGTTAGGGAGGAGCATCACTGAGCCCATGGGCTGGGGCTCTCCCCCCGCACCACCAAAGCAGCTGCAACACATGGAGCCACTCAGAGAATGCCTTGGGTTGTCCACTGTGGTTCCAGCAGCTTCCCAAACACTGGGGCTTGCCTGTTCTGATCCCATCCCATGTTCTCTGTAGTGCAGAGACTAGGAACTGCTGTCACAGATAATGGACTGGGGAGAAGGCAGGGGGAAGAAAATCTCTGGTGGATTTCTGGAGGGATCAGTGCCGTGGAGCGCCCTGTGGGATACCTGGTCAGCCTGAGTGCAGAGAGAGGAATGAAGCTTCATTTTCACAGCTCTCAGGATGAAGCCATGTAAGAGGATTTGGTGCATTAGCACTGGTTATGTCACTTAGAGCAAGCCTCAAGACACAGAAATTATGCATCAAGCTTGATGCACCAAGGTAGCCCACCAGGTGTAAAATTGCTGTAGTTCATCACTAGCCTTTAAAAGACAGGGAGTGTGGTTCTGGCATCAGTTGTAAGCAGAGAGTGCTTCGTGACATTTAATGAAACAAGGCTTTTAATCCCGTGTGTGTGGATGGGGGAGTGTTCTCTACCTAATAACATGTTCCTGAGAAAATCTGAATTTCATTAACAGAACCTGTCCTCATGTTACAATTTCCACATATGATGGGATTGTAATAGTTTCTTTTTAAAGCACATTGCTACTTCTAATTAAAAATGAAAAACACACATAAACAAAAAAAATCCCAACAAACACATGTCTGTGAAAAATGCCCAGATCAATATCTTGAGGGCCAGAGGGAGCACATCGTAATCATATGGCTGTAGTCCAGTTTAGTCCACAAAGTCTGTTCTTCAGACTATGAAGAGGCCATACATTGAGGATTTCTCACAAGTCAGCACATGCTTGAGTTGTTTTTAGCAAGAGACATCCAGTCTTCCAGGAGCAGTTACCACCATATCACATGTCAAGGTTAAAGTAAATCTCCTTTGTATTAGGCTGACTTTCTGCTAGGACTCCCAAATTATTTTCAGTGTCTCTCCTTCGCAGGCTGTGAGGCCTGCTGTGCTTTTAACCATGTGCTGCAGGCTGCTGTGCTTGCTTGCTTTACTCCTAAATAAGTGGTTTTTCTACCTGACCATTAAAATGTTGTTATTTCTAAGTGTCTGAAGTAAACTGCTGACATCAAAGCAGGATCTGATACAAGATTTTTCACACTTCTTTCCCCAGTTTTAGCTCTGAAAATATTTTAAAAAATTGTTACTGGTGCTGACTGAAAGCAGCATTTGTTTCCATACAGAACAAACTGAAGGCATATTAGCAGACTCATTAGAGGGACACACAGAAGAAATCACAAGACAAGTTTTGCCAGCCCTTCCATGAACAGCCATGGAAATCCTGTGCTGAGCTCTCTTCATCCAGAGACACTTGGCATTTTCATACTCCACTTAATAGGAGCCCCTCCTTTCCGCCCGTGGCTATTGTGAAATCTCTGGTTTCAGCTCATATTTATGTTTGCTTTAATCTCTTTAACATTCATAGCTTTGCAGTGTCCTTCTCTTTGCCTTCCCTCCAGGATTGGTGGTGGTGGTGATGCTCCCCCTGGGTTGTCCCCTGCATCAGATGTGAGAAGAATCCGGGGAGGAAATAGGAATTTCTTTTCTTAAACCTTCCTTTATTCTTGTCACAGCAACAGAGACTCTGCTTTGTAGCTTGAAGCTCCTAGGACAGTTGTCAAACTGCTGAGATACTTTTCAGGGTGTTGGAAAGGGTATTTTTCTCCCCTGCAATTCATTTTGTGTTCTGGTTAGAATGCTCCATTAAAGCATTTTAAATTATTTTCTGTGTTGTCATCAGAAAATGTTACAGGATTCCTCAGATTAAAAAAAACAACCAAACAGCACAGACAACCCTCAGCCATTTAATTTGTTCTACAGTTTTTAGGAGACTAAAAAGACACTAAATTCTTGGCAGAGGAAGAAATGTGTATATACAATTTTAAAGGGTTAAACTGTTCCAGTTTTCCACTTTCTTTTTTCTTGCTTGCTGTATGCTTCTACTTTATTTCTTGTCTATTTGAAAAATGGAAAGACAAGGCTAATCTTGGAATATGAGGCCTTAATTTTGTTTTTTTGAATAAGATGAGAGGAAGAGGCAAGTGACTGAGAGGAGGCGGCTGCTGCAGTGTTGGTTTGCCTCCGGTGGCGGCTGCGCCCGAGCGCGGTGACTTGGTGCGGGCCCGGCGCTTTACGAGAGGTTTTGTTGTAAAAGGCTGCCACAATAAACCATTCGCGAGGGCATTAAAAGATGAAGGAAATTGCTTGTTGGATCACAGAGAATCCAGCTCTGAAGTTTATGGGAATCCGAGTGCCCCAGGCCCTGGGCATTTCACAAACTTTTTCTGCTAAAGCTAATTATGCAGCATTCAGTTTAAAAAGTGACAACGTTACAACCATATGAGCAGAGTGATAGACTTGGCCTGTGGGGGAAAGCTGCTTTTATAGATCTTTCTAGTTTATTCTTGGACATAGTTATTAAATAAATTAAACACAAGAAAAGGCTGAGGTGGTTTGGCAGATCTGTTTCATAATTGAAAAACTAGAAAGGTAGCAGTCCAAATAATAAAACTAATTTATGTAGAGTTCTTAAGTGTCTGGTTTCTCAGATGAGTGGTCAGGGGGCGCAGTGGGAGGGAGCAGTGGATCTGGTGAGGGGGTGAAGACATTTTATACTCCCTGTTTGCAGGGTGCTGCTGGTCCCTCAGCCCTGGTGTGGTGCCTGCCAGCTCTCGTGGCATGCAGCTTCCCAGCATCCTCCTTCTGCCCTGGAGCACAGGAGGCAACAGAGGTGTTCCTGTCCAGGCACATCACAGTGTCAGGGCTGAAAGGAGCACATGGGTTCACATGCTCTTGCCTCCAAAGCCATTGGACAATGCTTCCTAGAGCTTCTGGTGGGTGTAGATGTGCAGGAAAGCAGCTGCCTGGAAACTTTGTCTAACTCAAGCAGAAAACCAAGTCAGAGCCTTTTCTTGTACAGCTCTTGCAGCAGTGCCAAGAATGAAGGCACTTATTCAGCAATTTTACTGTGTTATCCTTTTCCTAACTTTGTAATAACAGGACTTGGTTCCTTGGCATTTGAACTGCTTTTATTGAATTGAGCATAACTAGTTTTTGAAAGCAAGTGATTACAGTAATCCTCACAAACTCTGCTTTTTGTGACACTCTCCCACCATATACAACATTTGATGCTGAGCATTTCTGTGAATTTTCTAAGTCTTTTTTCACCTGCTTCTTGTACATAGAGAGCATGGCCACGTGGTCCCTGGATAATGTATTGGATAATGAAAATTACTGTGCATTACTGGATAATGTAAATTTTGACTGGCTGCCTACTGGGTTTGTTGCAACGTGTCATAGGGGCCATGTCCATCCTCTGTATTTATCAGACACCGAGCATTGTGCTGAACAAAGCAGTATTCCTTCTGGGAACATTCGGTTGGCCTTTTTACATGGGAAGTTCATGTGATTGAATTTCTGTATCTTCTGAGGTATTTTCTCATACCTCTTCTGGAGACTTCTTTGTCCTTCACTCTATTGACACCTGGGATTGAGCCTGTAAGGAAAAGAGAGAGGACCTGGGGGAATGTAAGCGTGTTTTTTCATTTTCACTTTTAATTTTATTTTATTTTTCCACAGGGTAGGTCTGTTTCTTTAACAACCTTCTACCGAACAGCAAGAAACATCATGAACATGTGCTTTACAAAGGAGCCTACAGTAGCTGAAGTAGAGGTGAGGCTAGCACAAGGGGTGGTAAAGGTTTTTGTTTCAGGGCACTAAGTATGGGGATTCAGGATAGTTGATTTTCAAGCATTTCTCTAATCAGTTTAAGACTGTGTAGTTTAGAATTTTTAAAAAATGGTTAAATAGACATGGTGAATTCTTCCTATTTAAAATTTTTTGAACATTTTAAATAAAGATATTGACGAACTGAGGAAGAGAAAGTATTCTCAATCTGACATGTGCTGAAACACAGAAACCAAGAGAATCTAAATTTTGCCTGCCTTATTGTGACTTTCAATTATTTATATTTTTATTTTACGCAATAGTTTATGTTGAATTACAGGGAGGCTGTGAAAGCCTTGTAAATTTCCAAGGTTTATATTTTAATGAGAGATTAAAGATTGTTCAGTGAATTTAAAATGCATTACTGCTTTCTCCTACCACAGCAAGAATACTGGCGGATAGTGGAACAGAAAGATTGCCATGTAGCAGTGCATTGTGGAAAAGTAGATACCAACACCCACGGGAGTGGTTTTCCTGTGGGAAAATCTGAACCATTTTCAAGGTAAGATTCCCAGATCCATCTTCTTTGTTGCCTCACTCCTGAGCAGAGCCCAGCAGGGCAGCTTGTCACTGGGAGTGTTGGCATTGGCAATGTGCATTGACTGTGTCTGTGTCACCCCTCAAACAGGCATGGGTGGAACCTCACAGTCCTTCCTAATAATACAGGATCCATCCTGCGACATCTTGGTGCTGTGCCTGGTAAGCAAGTCCCTCCTCTGTGTTTTCAGCCAGTGTCAGTGTCCTCTGAATGTGGTGCTTTGGGCACCAAATGCTTCTCCCTCTTCCAGGTCCCCCTGTTCTGACTGAGCAGACGTGCAGTTTTATGTAGCAGGTGCCACTTAAAGGGGTGAAGGTAGCCATGCAGATAAAGGATTAATGAACAGTTGAGACCCTGTTCCTGGGAGGAACCAGTTGTACCTGCAGTATCCCTCGCTGTTCTTGCCAGCCTGTCAGTGTTCTTGTGTGTTAGGACAGAACTGTGCTAATGCCACACTTGCAAAATGTAGTCTGTAGCACTGGGAAAAGCAGCACACACATTTTCTAAATGAATTGACACAAATTCTCCAGCTGCCTATCCACTGTTGCAGTTTACTGGTAAGAAACATTGGAAGCACAGTGAAATGTCCTGTTGAGATCAGGTGTGGAGCCTGAAGAAAACAGCTGGGAAACCTGTTGAATAGTTATATGTACGCTTGACAACATGAAGTGACCTCCTCTGATCAGTGGCAGTGAGCTTTAATTACAGGTATTTGTAAATTCTCCTAAGAATAAAAGTTTTATACAGCTATTAGAAAGCAAGCATGTTCAAGGGTACTGCAGTTTGCTGGTAGATATTTTCTTAGTGGAAAATGCTGAATTTATTAAATTACTCCCTGTGAATTATTTAGTCTGATAGGAAGACTGATAACATCAAGGGTCAGCTAACAAGGAGAGTAAGATTTTTGATTTAAATGCCCTCTCAAACTGTCTTTTACTGAACAAACTAAAGTTACTCAAAACTCATTTTTCAATCTCTTTGTTTTAGGAGTGACAATTCCTTGGCTAAATATTGGCATGGTCTTTTCTACCTCATGCTGGTCTCGAGACCAAAATCACCTTCCATACATTGACTACTTACACACTGGTGCTGATTGCATTTGGTAGGTATTCCTGTGGTTTTTCTTCACTTTCCCTGCAGTGGCTGCCTGTAGGCTGGCGTTAATAGCAACTGGTGTAACACTTTTGCATGAGGGAATCTCACCTAGAGAGTCCAGTGTGTGTGTGTGTGTGTGTGTGTGTGTGTGTGTGTGTGTGTCTGTTGGGGGTCTTCCAGTTTTAATGGGAAAATGTGGTACAAACTTAGGAGATGAAAACCCTTTTCCTGAGAGAAAAGTTTCACTTGGTTTTCTGTGGTCTATTCTGGTGTCCCCATGGTGGCAGTGGCATCATGGACTGCTCTTTATGCACATACAAAGCGCACTCTCACACATTTCTCAGAAGCTGCTGATGTCCAGGGTGCTGGTCCAGCTGTCACTGGGAAAGCACATGGCCCAAGAAAAAGCATTTGAGATCTGGTGAAAACCATTAAAGCAGGATCTCCTCCCTCTCTAAATGTGTTAAGTTGAAGAGATGTTCTGTATGTGATTCTTTCAAGGGGTAAAGGTGTAACTTGTGGATTATGCTGCAGACCTGGGAGTTTGTCAGTTTCTGTCATGGGCATTTTATGGCTCTTCTCCCTGTTCTGTGAATCAGGAATCTGTAATCTCTTATAATAGTATACTGTCAGGACAGATCACTGAGCAAACTATGTTGTCCTCAACCTTAGGTGAGTCTGTTTCTCTCTAAAACATTAATCTAGTGTTAAATGACAGTAAATTCCAAACAGAATTCAAAAATTCCCTAATTAAGTTCTGAGGTCACTCTTCATGCTGTGTGTCAAAACATGTGACTCTTGGGATTGAACAGGCTTGCCTGCAGACAGCTCAAATTTTAGGAAAGACTACTGTTTCTGTTTTTCGAATCCAAGAAGAATAAAAGTAAAGAAGCCATTTACTTTATCTTGATGAACTTATAGAGATGATTACATAACTTAAGGCATCTTTGTGATGATAGCCTTGATGAAACAGTCATTGTAGGCAGGAATAACTCACAAGAAGGAAGTGAAACTCCTTTGTCTGCTGAAGCTATTCTTCAGCAAGGCTGCCAGCCTGAAGTGTCAGGCTAGTATTCATTAGCTCATTACAACTTTTAATAGTGCAATAAAGCATCCATCTGTGTTAGGAGAAGATGAATTTAATATCTGCGGTTCTGGCGTGGAGTAGCCCTGATAGCGTTGCCTTTAGTCACTGCTGTGGGGACAACAAGGTGGCCAGTGGGCTCCAAACATCTCCTCCCTCTTGCCAAGTCCCTCTACCACCCAGAAATCTTCTTCTCCAAGGACAGATCCTGTGCTACTCAAACTACTTTGCTTACCTGCAGATTGCTCAGCTCACTCTCTTATCTCTCAGGTTTTACGTCTTGGAGATTAAACAAGGGAGAACTCAATTTTCATGCAGGGCAGAGGTCAGTGAATTAACCTTTTTATTCTGGAGGGATCCTCAGTGCTCATTAAAAGAGAGGAGGAAATCTTGTTCTGCCAAGACATTCAGAAGTCTACACTGGCTGCTCACTTCCCATTTTTATAGGTACATCAGGAATTGTAGATGAGTGCAATTGCAGCATACACCAGTTGCAAAGGATCTCATTCCCCTCTATGCCCTAGGTACTCAGTTCCATGCACTTCTGTGCTGTCCTTTCTCTTCACACAACTTTCCCAAGCATTTTCCTGTGTCTGTCTTGTGAGGGACTGTGTGCTTGAATCTTCTGTCTGTTCCAGCCATATTTTCTGACTCTAGAAGAGATGAGTGGGTTCTGCCATGATCTGGGTTCAAATTTAAAATATTTTTATCCATGTAACTAGACTGATACACCACACCTGTGGAGCTGTACTGAAGCTGTCACTGTTAGCAACAAATTATTTGAGACATGGCACACTTTTAAAATTGCTGTTCGGACTTGATCCTTATTTGATCCAAGATGAAGTTCTTCTACTTCACCTCTCTATAACCTTGGGAGTTCTTAGCAAGGTCCTGATCATTGTCAATATATATGTAAGGAGTTGGTCTTTGTACAGCTGGGCAACCAGCTCAATAATACTCTTACTGTGGCTACAATTAGCCACAGGAGATAATGTCATGTCTTCTGCCACTTGGCTTGAAGATCAACAAACACAAAGCAAAGTCATCATCAGTAGAGTGAACAGTGGGGAGGTGTTCAGAGTATAGGAAGTGCAGCTTCCTACAGGCTCTTCAGTCTGAATAACCCTCTGTGATGCACACAGAGTTATGTTACTAGCAAGTACCCTGTGTCAGGTGTGTAAGGCCAGCAGAACACTTCATAAAGTTGCTGGAGAGATCAGATGAATGGCAGGAAGACTGTACCAGTTCCCCAAAATCTTTCCAGCTTCATTGTCTTGTTCCAAGTTTGGAAAAACGACTCTGTGTGTGTATGCGTGTGTGTGTGTGCATTTCTGGTGTGGGACTCCAGCTTGAGGTCTCATTGCCTAAAGGGAAAGGGTAAGTCATGGTAAAGCTGGAGATGCTTTTGACTTGGCTGAGCATCACCCCTTGGATAGGCTGCAGGCAAGAGCAGTGACCAGTTGTCACCATATCACCTCCCTGCATCCAGAATAACAGCAGTTCTCTGGATGTGTGGCTCTAAGACTCAAGACTCCTGTGTTACTTCTTGTCATTCTGCTGAGGGAGCAGTGCTGGCAGTGAGCACAAGAGGACAGCTGCTTCCTTGGCTTCTAAAGAGAAGAGGATGTGCAACTTGGCAGATTCCCAGCTGAGTTTGAAACCTCTCCTGCCACTTTGGCTGCTTTTAGTCAGGTCTTCTGTTGCAAGGGAGAGGAGGGATGTGGGATTTGTTAAGTAAGCAAGGCAAGAAGGTCTTGGGCAACTTCATGCACTGAGTAGAGGGAATTTGTGATTTCTTGACTGTTACAAACAGAAAATGTTACTAAATGTTACTAAATGTGAAGATCCTTTGGTTGATAATAAATACAATCTTTTATGGTAAAGATAACAACATACATTGGTGCACACAAGATGCAAGCTTTTGTCCATAATTAGCTGGTTTGGTGCTGTTAAAATGACCATCAATTGATTGCTGGTTTCTCTCATCCAACTCTACAGAGGACTGAGTTTTCACATTTCTGTTTTGGGGATTTTTTTGTCTTCTGATACTTACTGAACATGATCAGACTGAGTCTGAATAAACAACTTCCCTTCAATCCTCAGTTTTACCAAAAGAACTGTGTGTGAAACCCTGTGTTGAATTTCTTTCTTCTAATCAATGTGTTGGTCTGAATTGTCTGTTATTGTGTAGCTGTGGACCATTATTTACTCCACAGTAAATATTTCTCTTTTCCTCTGACAAAACAACAGGTATTGCATTCCTGCTGCAGAGGAGAACAAACTTGATGATGTGGTACATACCCTGCTGCAAGCCAATGGCACTCCAGGGCTGGAAATGCTTGAAAGTAATGTAATGGTAGGTTAACACTGGGAGAGATGTTCCCATTTGAGAACCCTAGGCTAATCAGGAGGCTGGTTGGTTGGGGATTTATTTTGGTTTTGTTTTGCACTGCAGTGATGCAGCAGGGGCTACTTTCTGTGTGCAATGCTTACCCACATGGTATTTTTCTAACAAGGCTGTTACTATGTATTCATATAAAAACAAACACATAAATACAATAAATGTCCATTTTTAATACTGTGTGTAGCCTCACAAAGGGAGTGGGATCTAATCAGTTCACCTGCCATGACTGACATTTTATGATGCCAGCATAGATAGGAGAAATCGAATACTTACGTATTTTTGCCTCCTTTGTTTATCTTTTGGATAACAATCTTATTTTTGTGTACATTTAAGTGCAAATTGGGGAGCTCATAACAAAACACCCTGCCTTGTTAGCATGGGCTACCCATGTTAGGCTACCCATGTTAGCATCTCACAGAAGTGCAGTAGCACAATGGATTTAATGCCAAGTCGGAAAAGATCAGGTGGAAAGCTGAATGATCCACATTGCTTTCCGTAGGAGCAGACCGTGTTCTGTCCTTGGGCATGTGGGAGTTTAAATTGTTGGTTTGAGGAGAGGCATTTCTGCAGTTGTCACTCCCAACGCTGAGGTTCGGAATAGGAGAGGGAGAGCCACCGGAGCGGAGCTGTTTGCAGAGCCCAGCTTTGCTCCGCAAGCAGGAGCGTGTGGCAGCACCCAGCCAGGAAGAAAGTTCCCATTGACTGCTTTTCTCTCTCTTTTTTTTCTGTTTCTTTCCAGATCTCCCCAGAGGTCTTGTGTAAGGAGGGGATCAGGGTGCACCGTACTGTACAGCAGAGTGGGCAGTTTGTTGTCTGTTTTCCTGGATCCTTTGTGTCCAAAGTATGTTGTGGCTATAGTGTTTCCGAATCGGTGCACTTTGCTACCACCCAGTGGACAAGTATGGGCTTTAAAACAGCCAAGGTAAGGAGAAAAGGAGTTAAAATGGATTCACGGCCCTGCCCTCTAAAAGGACAGCAGACATTCCAGGATTGGTAGCATTATGACAGTAGTGCTACTACGTCTGTTTTCCTGGATTAATAAATAAAGAAAGGAAAAAATTCTGCAAGGCATAAGATGATCCAGTGTTGTCAGAAAAGTGACTGAGTTGTTAACTGACAGTTAAAGACTTGTGTATATATAAAAAAATTCAGAAGATTGTTGTGCCTGCAGACCAGTTTGCAAGGAAGCTTTTCAAAAATCCCTTCAGAGCTAATGATTATACATGGTATTATGCTTACTAATTGTTTTTTTTAAGTGATGTTTTCTAGAATCATTAGAATCTCAGGTGCAAATATCTAAATAACTGTGCTCGTTAGCTCTTATGGTAGGCAGAGTCACTTAATACTCACAGCTGTATTGCTTGTTTTTCTCTGCCCCTTCATTCAGGAAAAGCTGTTGATCAGGGCAATTTCAATTTTAATTAACTTGAAAATCCTTAGGTTCACTGACCAGCCCATCCAATACTAGATGTAAATAAATAACCTTCCCATTCCCTTCTCACACAACTGACGAAGGCACGTTGCCTGCAGAAACAGGTGATTTGTCCAGTCATCATCATTCTGGCTACATTTCTGTGTTCTTGGACAAAGAATACACATTACTAACTGTGTTCCCAACCTTCTGAAATACACTCTGGGTTACAGATAATATTTTGGTAGTGTTTTATAGCTAAGCCACTAGTAAATTGTCCTTTACAGCTTCAGACCAAGTTACTAAGTAATTAACTGTAATATTTCCACAGTTAGGGATTGCTTCTTTTGGGTAAATGGAATTCTTCCAGCCTGGTTATACTAATTGTATATTAACTTAGTTTGAAATAAAAGGTTATTTTATTATATATTTATTTTGGGGGAACGTGGGAATTGTGTATATCTATAAGTAAGGCATAAGAATCCTGAGCTGACCTTTCCTGTCGGAACGTACATGATTATATTAACTCCATGTCCTGTATTTATCTCTCTACTGAACACGTGCTTGATATCGTGAAAATGCTACTCCTGTAAGAGACAGAAATCACTATGCAGCAATTAAACAGCTCTTGGTGCCTCAAATTTTGAAGAACAGTTTCTTTTGATTAATTTTTAAGAGCTTTGCACTGGGTAAATATAAGATGGCTGAATATCCATCGATTACAGTCTGTGATAATCTACCTTGGAAATTGAAGTCACAGCTCTCACAAACTTCACAAGAACCACTTGAACTTACACTTTTGAAACATCTACTGTGTTGTTCTTTTATTTCATTTTTTTTCCCCTTCCCTTTCCGTCTTCAAACTGTCATATGTTCTTAATTCCCTTTAATTTTGGAAATTTTTCTTTGGTTCCTCCACTTTGCCAAGGCACATTGCCATCTTTGCTACAATGCCGGCCAGGATTGTGCTTTCCAGAGGTGGTGAGACATTGTGTGTAATGGGCAAGATCCCCCTTTTGGACTGTTAAATGAACTCTCTGGTAAACAACTGAACCTTCTGTCTATTCGTTCTCCACAGCAATACTGACAGTTTTTAGCATTTGATAAATTAACTTTGTTTTCATCCTGTGATACTGTGACCTGATTTTTTTATAGTGACTCTCTTTATATTACTGAAATGATGTTGTTTCATTTTTGTATTGAATGACTGCTCCATCTCCTTTAATACATGCAAAAATGAAATTCTACATCAGAAATTGCATTGATTTCAGTCTTACAAGCACTTTGGAAAAAATGTTGGAATAAAAGGGTTTATATAAACACCTGTGTAAAGGGACAGTGAGGTTTAAACTAGGCCATATTTGGAACAAGGTTGCTGGTTTTAAAAAGCACCCTAAGAGCTCTTGAAATTTTAAGGTAAGGATAAGAAGATTTAGAGTTGTGGTGGAAGAGTGTGTGCTTGGAGTGGCAAAGGGATAGCTCCATAGCTTCAAATAAGGCATTGGGCAAAGTCAGTGAAACTAATTTAGGAAACTGTAGTAGAGAATGCTGGACTAAATGAAGGCACTCTGGGTTAGAGGTTTGGAAACAAGAGGGAATGTCTGGTTTTAGAGGAGGCTTTGGTGCTAGGGCCTACCAGAAATTAGGTGGGAAGAGATTCAGCTGGTAATACAAGAGGAAGAACTACATAGGAGAGATGGAGTTAAGTATTCCAGCTGGAGCAGCACTGCTGCACACACTGGAAAGCTTACAGTCCATAAACCAGGTTTAACTCTGATACCAGTGACACAATCCTTGTGCACCTGATCTCCCAAATAGGAAAGCTGTGGTATTAGCAGAGTACTCCCTGGAAGATGCTGGCAGGGGCTGGACATGTATTTCCCCAGCTCCAGTTTAAGAACATGAAGAACATGAAGAACATGCCTTTAAAATGCCACAGGTTTCCCACTCCTTGGCACCTGTCACAGAGCTGTCCCACCCTGAGCTCCTTCAGATGAAACCAAAGGGAAAGTGATCCTACAGAAGTGTACCTGATATCCTCACTAGAAAAGAGCTGGGCTGTGGTGGAGAGCGGAGAGTAGGATCCTTGGAAAAGCAGTAAAACGCAATATAACCACTGCTGTGGAAGTAAATGTACAAAAAAATGAGAACAGGGCAACCACCATGATGGCTTTTGCAGCAAGGTCATGGCATCCAGGCCGTAAAACTTTTGGAAGTAGGTAAGGACAAGAGTTGCAGCTGAGAGAGTCTGTGAGCATTTTTAGGAGAAAAGGCTTATAAATAAATTGAAAGGTGCAGTTCACATACCAAAAAACCAAAACTGATTTAAAGAAAAGCAGAGGATAGGTCAGTTTTTATCATGAATGTAGACAGTCTTTTTCTGCATTCCTCAGGAGTTTGTACAAGCACAGTTTAAAGTATCCCTAAATAACCTAGTAAGGGAAGTTCCATAGCAAAACAAATCCTTCATGCTGAGGGTATTAATGGTAATGGCAGCAAAAATTAAAGCTATGACGTGTTACAGAAAGATTTCCTGATATTGAGTGATGCAAGTGAGAAAATGGAAGATTAAGTTCAGTGTTGGTAAATGTTAAATTTAAAAACATAATCATAATGTGACAGATACAGAGATGGGCTCTTGCTATTGAGAGAAGAGGTCTTTGGATTCCTATGGAGCTGTCAGTCAAGTGCTCTGCATAACAAAAATACATTGAATGTTAAGAATTAGAAGGAGAGAATAGGTAACAAAGCAGAAACTGCTCTGGCACTTTTTAGTCTTGGTGGTTTGTGCAATTCAGATCCCCTAATTACAGAAGGAATGTAGAGGAACTAGAAAAAGCACAGCAGAGATCAATGGTTAAAATTATTAATTAGCTTCTGCATTAAATAGAAGAGTACTGGGAAAGGAATTACCAAGAGATGTATGAGAGCAAGAGAGATCACAAGTGCCAGACTGATGATAATTATAATGTGAATGTTCACTGACTTTCATGACATTGAAAAATGCATCACAAGAAATAATCAGGCAGGCACTAAAAGAAATAATGAGTACAAGTCTGTTGTAAAATACTTACCTGTGTATTTCTCTGTATGGATGAGAAAAATGTACATAGGTTCAGAAATTCAGATAAATGCAGAGATACAGCAAGTTGTGCTAAACCCTGCTCTGGCTCAGGGTGTCCCTGAGCTGTCACCCAGCTGGAGCTGACCTTGCTTTCTTGTCCAGCCACCCACCATGGCTGTGTGTGTTGCCTGTGCAGGATTCTTCCCTAGACTGGAGTCTGTTCTTGTGTACACAGCCTCAGACTAAGCAAACCTAACATGGAAAAATCTTCCCACACCAATCCTAACCATGCAGCTGTTCCAACCACACACAGGGTCTAGCAGAGCAAATAGCTTCTGAAGAATACTTTTCTTACCTCTGAACCCCTTTTGAACCCTTTTTGGTCAGCAAAGGCTGCTGTTCCATTTTACGTGATAGTTATCACTTGAATGCACACAATTGGTGCTACTAAAAATTATTGATTTTATTATAAATTCATTTGTTGTGAAAAAAAGAAATAGCCAGAGCATATAATTACAGTTATAGAACAGGGTAAAAAAAATAATGTAACAAATAAAATCTTTGGGATTGTGTGTGCTGAGTAGGTATTTGGCAGGTTTAACCACTAACCAGAAATGTCACCCTCACATTATAGTCCAGTGTTAGCTTGTTTTGAACTCCCTGACTCTACATAAGCCAAAACAGACCTCTAGAGGTACTGTGAAAGTGGTACATTTTTCCCACCTGCACATTACATCAAGGAATTTGCCTACTTAAGAATTATCAAAAGGGTTTCAGATACCAAAATAATTCAGTTTATATAACTTTAAAGCTTTCACAGAGAGGAATCTGTAACAGGCAGAACTGAACCCCCCTCTTTTGCCTTTTGTCTCTTTTCCCTAGCATCTGCCTGTTCTGCTAGGTTTGTTTTAAAAGATGTGAAGTAACACTAGTCCTGGGTTTCAAGTATGTCATATGTATAGATCTTACACTGTTTGTACTCTGAGCCATCCAGTATTACTGAACTTGAATGATGGTGTTGCTCCTCTTGGCCTCCACAGGAAGAATTTTTAGGGAGAGAATTTTGAGGTGCCTGGAACATAAACTGGGACTATGGAAAGATTTTACTTGTGGTTGTTTCAAAAGGCTACTTTTTGCTTCAGCTTATTAGTATCAATAATTTAATTAACTAATATTGAATTAATTCTTGGTAACATTTTATTTTCAAATTTGTTCAGGAACTAATGTGGCAAATTTCTCCTGTCCCAGGAAATGAAGCGGCGCCGTATAGCCAAACCATTTTCAATGGAAAAGTTACTTTATCAGATTGCAACAGCAGAAGCAAAAAAAGAAAACGGACCGACTCTGAGTACGATATCATCGCTCCTGGGAGAGCTCAGGTAATGGATTGGGGGCTTGCTTACCTCTTTTGTTTTCATTGACAGACTCCAGAGGTGGATGACGTGACGTAAGTAACCCTTTCAGACACACTTTGTCCCTAATTATCCAAGCCAAAGCCCAGCAGATGTACCTGAAGACAGGCACATATGGAAGAAGCAGCTTCCTTGGTTGTAGCTGATGTGACAGTGTCCATGTTAGGATGTCTGAATTCTAAAAATTCCCTACTTTAGACATCTTATAAAAATTGAAACTGCAGTTTGCACTAGGTTTTTATTTTGTTAATTCTTGGTGCTGAGAGTTGAGATTTCCTGATGCATTATGTGAACTATGTGGTGCCAAGTGGTTAAATACCTTCCTTGAATTTTTCAGCCTCTTGGCATCAGTAGTCACTGTCAATCCATGTCTGTAGTGGGTTTTGCACCAGGAACCCTTGTCTTCAGTATCAAGACTGTTATACTATAGGTGCAAAAGGTCCTTTGTATGCAGAAAGTTGTCTTGGTTTTAAATAGTAAGAGAGCAATTGTGCATGCATGGTAACGCATCTGGCATTAGAACTCCAGTGTTTTAAAGAGTAAAAGCGTCACACTCCTTTTTCTCTCCAGTATTAAGGACAGATATTAAGGGTTTCTCTTAAGATTGGTGAGAAAAGAAAATACAATGTTGCCTGGCTTCCTGTGTAATGATCTTCTCTTTTGTTCCCTACCATGTAGTTGCTACCTATCTTTCAAGTTTGTGACAACTGATACTCGAGATGTCAAGAAAGTTTTGATGAATGGAGTCTACAAACTGTATTTAACTAACTAGCATGTTCATTTGGAAAATTTCCAGTGACATATTGAAGGGGAAAACAGCCCATGTGTTGTTTAGTGTTCAGAAAGAAATGCAAAGAGGTGTGCTGACTGCTTTACCTGCAGGTGGCTCTCCTGTGGGAATAACCACTTTCAAGTGCCTTTTTTTTCCCCTTGAAGAGGAAGTCTGCAAGTACAAAAGGCGAAATGTTGGTGCTTGCTCTTAGACCATCACATCGACCTTTATCAGAGTGGTTCTCAAACTTGTTCTTATGCATAGGTTGGAATTCACTGGAGGATACGGATCCTTCCTGTGGCTGGTTATAGGAAACAAAAGCCCAGACAACAAAATCTAAAAAAAAAGGAGAAAAAAAAAAAAAGACATCTGAAGTGGAACACTGTACCATATTTTTTTTTTCCTTTGTTTTGTTTTGCTTGTTTGTTGTGTCTCTTGCTGCCTCTTCTCCTGATATGCCTTGGTTGCTCAGTTTGCCCGTGCCATTTGCTTAGCTTGGCTCTCCACTCATCTTCAGCTGTGTCTGGTGGTGCATTTTTTTATCCTCCCCTTCCATCTGCTCAGCTCACTCTACACTTGCTGTCTTCCACTCAGCTCCAACCCAACCTGCTCTCCTAAAGCTGAAGAGTTCAGCACAGGAGGTATTGTCCGCCTTAGAGATGCCATGGGTGAAGGGCGGCCGGAGGGCTTGGTGGTTGTCCTTTATTGACATCTCCTTCTTTTTCCCTGGGTGTACAGCAAGATCCTCGTCTTTTGGCATAGTCACTTGCCCTGCTCCCCCTTTCCTGCCTGAAGCACCTTATGGCAGCAGGTCCTTGGTTCATCTCTGCCTCCTGATGAAGGGGCTGTTACTCCTGACGGCCACGGCTCCTCTTCCTCAAGGTGGCTTTTGGCAACTTCAGGAATGACAGTCATGTTAACCACAGCTCCTGACTCTCCACATGGCTCGAGCAACCATCGACCTCCAGGAAGTCCTCGGCAGTCCCCACTTCTCTGTGGAGCAGTTTGAGAACCATTGGCTTGATACAGTGGTCGCTGTTAAAATCCGGAGATAGCTTTTGCAATTAGGCAGCGTTTCCCGGGCGCTGGCTGTGTCTGCCGTGCTTAGGGAATGGCACCAACCTCCAACAACACTCAGGGCTTTGCGTGTGGAGCTCAGGTTTCAGTGAGGAGTGGGGTAAAGGGGTGACTGTGTGGCTCTGTGGTGGCTGGAGGCAGTGCCAGTGTCTGATTGTGCCCCCGTTCACAGGGACACGGAGCTGAGGCAGCGGCGGCAGCTGTACGAGGCCGGTCTCCACTCCTCGGCGCGCTACGGCAGCCACGACAGCAGCAGCACCAGCGTGGATGGCAAGAAAAAGCCTCGAAAGTGGTTGCAGTTAGAAACGTCAGAGAGGAGGTGTCAGATCTGTCAGCACCTGTGCTACCTTTCCATGGTGGGTACAGTCCTTTGCCACTCCTGGGGTACTGTGCCCTTCCACTAGCATTCCAGGGATCTACAGGTATTTAAGAGACAGCAGGTGGCCATGGAGCCATGTCCTGCACTCCATGCAAGACACAGAGGTGGCGTGGCATTTACTGCCTTGGCCAGTGGTGACAGAAGACAACAGTGTTAGCTGGCTTCCCACCCTGCCAGAAGGGATGAACCAGTGCCTTCAGACACCTAAGAGATGTTTGCACTGCACTAGGAGGGCTAACAAAGACACCTGTGGGTTGCCAGCAGCAGTAAGTTGTGACAGAGCAGGTCTCAGGATGAGCTACAGCTCAGACACATGTCATGAGTCAGGCATGCAGCCACGGCCCATGCTGAGACTGTCCCTGCAAGCCGAGTTGCAGGGGAGATGTATCCCATCCATCAAACTGTTTGCCAGCCTGTCCAAAAACAGCCCATAAACCTTCTCTCTGTTAAGAGGGAAATGCCTGCTGGCTTTTGAAGGTGTGCTGACCACTGCAGTGACACTTCTAGGCTTAGAGCTGTATCCAGAACAGAACCTACAAACACAGCAATGTCGTTAAAAATACCAGAAGCCCCTCCCACAACATTCTATACCGTTTTAATCCCAGGAACAAGTATTCAGATGAACATAATGCAGTGCATGTGAGTCCATAGTTAGTCCTTTCAGTTTGGGAGTTCTTTTTCCTCTGGGATTTTCTTGGTTATAGATGCTAGATTTTTAATGGAAATGAAATATAACTGCATATAATCAGATGTAGCTGTTTCCCTCCCTAGGATAAAATATGTTTTTATACATGTCTTTAGACCGCTTTTCAAGTAGCATTAGTTTGAAGTAACTTTAAAATTAGTTTATTTAAAAAAAAACAAAAAAAACCCAAAATAGTAACCAGAACCTGTTAATTCTGGTCCATTTGCTCTGGAGTAAGTTTAATCATGGGAAGGATTTTTCCATATCACTCTTTAACAGTAGTCGTGGATAAAAATACCCAACTTGGTTGTTAAATTCCAAGTTGAGTGTGCAGGCCTGGCAGGCAGCCAGCTGAGTAAATGTCACCTCTGCTGAACAAGACAGTATTTGAGGAATCCTGTGGCTACGCTTATTACATCCTTGTTCAAGGTAGCATTTTAAGTAATAGGAAACTATTCCTTTCAGGAGATCTTTAGGACTGCATAGAAGATGCCAATAAATGCATTATCTGTTTGGATTTAGCCCTCATTATTATTGGTGGAGGTTTTTTTAAAATTATGTATTTATTAGCACTCTTTTAAAAAGAGTTTTTTTTCTTTCTACCTATTGCACATCCTGAATGATTGCACAATGTGCCTCACACCTTGTACTAAAATCCAGGTGTAATTCAGGCCATAATTGAGTATTGTGTGGAAAACACAGCTACAGTTTGGAGCTTAACTGCACTTCTTCCCCTCTCCCCCTCCTCTGCTCTTTCATGTAGGTTGTACAGGAGAATGAAAATGTTGTCTTCTGCTTGGAGTGTGCCCTGCGGCACGTGGAGAAGCAGAAGTCGTGCCGGGGGCTGAAGATGATGTACCGCTACGATGAGGTGAGCACGACACCGCACCAGGGCCGGGCTACCCAACACCTGGGAGGACACTGAACTCTGCCTTTGTCTCACTGAGGCCTCAGGAAAGTGTCTTAGGTTTGGGGGCTTGTCTTGGTTTTGTTTTTTGATGTGAGAAGAAGGTGCTTTATTATGATTTAAGTAAAAAAAACCCAAAAAAACAAAGGGAACATGATGACACAGATGAAACTTGAAGCACAAATTCCATAAATATGTGCCACAGAATTTAAGAAGCCACTTAATGCTTTGGGATGAAACATGAGGCTTTGCTATCTCTGTTTATGTTGTGGTAACTTCTGTACTTTGGAATACCTTCCCTCTGTTGGTAACTGGAAGTTCAGCAGACTTATTCCAGTCCAGCATGAGCATCCTTGCAGAGCATGTGCAGATGAGAGGTGCAGCAATGACTCCAAGCAAATGTGATGATGAATAACCCCTGAACTCAAGATGGGGACTTAGGACTGTGCCTGGGTTCTGGGCTGAGGCTCCATGTCTTTAGCTGTGAGGGGACTTGGCCCCAAAGGTAAAGAGCAGAGCAGTGGGAGAAATGACATGTTAGGTCTTGGAGAGCAGCACTGGGTATAAACAGCCTTTTAAGATGGGGCTTCCCAGCATTTCTGAGCACTCCATTGCACTCGTGTTTAAGTGACTCTGGAGGAAGAGCAGATACTAATTTGTGTTTTGTTTTTCCCACTTCCTGAACAGGAACAAATAATCAGTCTTGTCAATCAAATCTGTGGAAAAGTATCTGGTAAAAATGGCAGCATTGAGAACTGTATCAGCAAGCCTACACCAAAAAGAGGACCTCGTAAGAGAGCGACAGTGGACGTGCCATCATCTAGGCTTTCATCCTCCAGTTCATCCAAAAGTGCTTCAAGTTAATCCTGAAGATGCCAACACTCTCATTTTGTCAATTTATATATATTTTTTGTAATTATTATACCATAGTTTGGAGTACTTGCTGTAGAATACAAGCTGTCTTTGCACTAGCTCTAAAGAAGATTTTCTTCTGGTTTTAGAGAACTAATTTTGTTTTAGCATTAAACTGTTGAAATTTTTTTTTTTTTGTACTTAGACTAGATAGATACAGCAGTCTGATTTTTTTAAACTGCCGTATGTTCACTGTTTTAAAACTGGCAAGGGGCTGATAAAATATTAATTTGTATTGTCCCTATGGCTGAAAAAATAAAAAGCCTTTTTGGTAACTGTGAAGAAAGGCTTTTAACCCAGTTTTTGAATAGGTTAAAGTTTGATGTGTTTTATAATTTGTTCTCCGGTCATGTGAGCAGATTTTTCTAGAGAGAAAAGGGATAGGAGACAAAAACTTGAAAGAAATTGCTTTACTTTGGCTGTCTTTTATTCTGTCACAGCAAGATGAGTTTTGTAATTTTTTAAATTGGAGAATACACACTTTCTTTGGGAGGTTATGGCAGCTGAAGATGGACTTTGTTTCCTAACTGTAGGCAAAAGGAGGAGATTTGGAGTATGTTCTCTTTTACCAGCACATCACTATGCATCTGTTTTGAGGGGAAAAAATAATAAAAATAAAAAAATTTAAAAATGAAAAAAAAATTAAAAAAAGGAGGAAAAAAGACTGCCTGCCTTGAGGAGTTATGTGAGGGAAAACTGTGCCTGATTTCATTAGGAAATCCATTCTGTTATTTTTTGGTGCTGTTGGCTACTTTATCAAAAACCCTTCAATAGCATCCTTAAAAAAAAAAAGGAGATAAAAAAAAGAAAAAAGTGATTGAAGCCATAAGTGCTTCTTTTGTCATAGACGTGCAATCTTTCTAACATTCCATTTCCATTCCACTGCTGTTTTTCACACCTTTACACAGTCAAGCATTAATTTTGTTTTGAATTTTTTTCATTATATGATCACATTTAGAGCCACTAGCAAGTCTGCATATTTCTTTTGAATGTGAAAATGCATTTGCTTTCATCTTGTCTATTTTTTCTCTTCATGTTGTAACAAAAAAAATCACACCTTTTGTACATATGCCTGTAAATTTTTTTAAATACTTGAGCCTTTTCTTGGGGTGGGGGGAGGGATGGCAGAGAGACAAGATGAAGAAAAGCCTTACGTTTCACTTTCTTCATCGGTTGGATTGGATGCTTACAGGGTTTTTCTTGTAACATTTATAAGTGCTGCTTACATCACTGAACAACAACAAAAAATAATAATGGAGTAGCTGTTGCCCTTTTCTGGTTGTGTGTACAGTATGTGTGGAATAAAAAAGGGAAAATGTTTTCACAAACTGTTTTGTTTCGTAATTGAATTCAACAATACCGTAGCTACCCATATTGCACTGAGCTTGCCAGTGGTGACTGTCAGGAAAGTCCTATAATACAATTTGTTGATTGTTGTTGCAGAAGACTGAACTGTTTTGGAATATTTAACAATAACATAAACAGAGTCAAGTGTTTTCAAATGTGGTTGTCTGGTTTTTATGGCCTTGCTGTGTACTTTTCCCTCTTGACAGTAAACTTCTGACTATGGCTTACAGTTTGACATTTAATTTATTAGCGCTGCTCTGCTCTCTTTCCTTGTTAGGAAAGACTTCATGTTGTTTATTGCCAGTTTTTTGTTTACTTTCCAGGTTTGTACTACGAGGTTTAATAAAAAAAACAAAACTTTTTTGGACATTTTGTCTGTCTTCTGGAAAGCGAGAGAGTAAAGGGAGGAAATTTAAAAGATAAATTTCTTTCAAAAGCTGCCTTGTTGAATAGTAAATCTCTAATTGTAGGTAGGAAGCTTCCAGCCTTCCTTTCCCAGACAGGGATCAGGAAACACTTTGTCAGCTAACAGGAGAATCCTTAAGGAAATTGGCTACTGCCCATCTGGCAAGCAGCAAGGAGACAGCCCCCTTCCCAGCATTGGCTTTGTCAGGGTAGGTCTTTGGAAGGGATCTACATCACAGCTCATCCTTTTACTTACACTGTTTCTGATTACATTCCTTCCCTCCGTGCAGAAGAGCAGGAGCCAGGAGCCTTCTCAAAGGAGAGCAGATCTCTGAAAATAGAGCATGAGACTTGACAAGCAAGAGGCATTAGACATGGTCAGACCTCGAGTTCAGAGAGAAAAACAACTGCAGAAAAAACGGGAATGAGATGATGGCTATAGGTCCTGAGGTTTCTAGAATACACGCACTTAGATGTTACCATGGAAAAGCACATTACATTGGTGCTCCTCATCATTTTTTTTCCTGGGTTAGGCTCCTCTATTCACTTGTCATCAATAAAATACCTAGGTAGTCAAGTAAAAGACATGGTTGGGATAGAAATTCTTTATTTTATCTTGAAAGAGGAGTAAGTACACAATGCTAAGATACCTGCTCCACAAGGAGTGCAATATTTCCATATGCATCTCTCCTCCTTCTTGGTTTCTTATTTTTTCCGTAACACCTATAACTAAGTTGGTCCTGAATAAGAAGTGTGAGAACAGTAGACACTGCTGCGTTAGTAGACAAAGGCAGGAGGCAGACAGTAGGTAGTAAAGAGTAGAAAATAACTTTTCATTTTGGTTTGAATCCTAAATCTTCAGTTGCAGCAGCTGAAAACATGCAAGGAACAATTTGGGTTCAGTATTACACGTCAACTCTTAAGTACTTCCAATCAGCCATATAAAGGTTAGTGGTCAAAGTAACTTCTACCTTTCCCCTTAAATTCTCTTATACATAGTATATACAATAGTTTTACTGCTCCCCTGAGCCCCAAGACTACTGTTAAAGTGTGTGTGCTTTAGGCATAATTTTTTCTTTAAAAACTAACCTCCACATGACTGGCAATTTTGTAAAAAGGCAGTATTACTAAGTAAAAAGATCTGGCTGTTACACTTGGTTAGCAAATTGTTACACAGGCAAGCTCTTCATTCACTTGTTCATTCATTCAGAAGTCATTCTTAAAGGATATGGTTTTAAGATTCAAATAGTTTGAGAGTCACTTTCATCGCTGCCATCTGAAGCACCCTTTCTCTCAGTTACAGCAGCAAGGGCAGTGTCCACTTGAACCTCCTCTTCATCCGACTGAACAACAGGGGACTCTCCTTCACTTGCATCCTGGCTGGCGGAGTCGGTGCAGGTTGAGGACAGGGAACAGAGTTTCTGCCGTAACTCCGACTGGCTTGGCACCTGGAGACTGATCTCGTTCACGTAGGTGTTGGAGTCGGGCCCTGAAAGTTGGGAAAACAGCAACAGCAACAACAGTCAAACTGTGGCTCAGCAAGGGGATTGAGAAGTCAGTGCATTAACATCAGTTTGGCGCTGGTTAAGGAGCCACTTTCAGGCTGTTTTCCTTCTTTCGCAAGATACCAAGAGGAAAACCTCTCAATAAACTCAGTGAAATAAAACTACACAGATTGGAAATACGAAACCAAACAAATAACTAGGAAGCAGGCAATAACAATCATCACCCATTTTGACTAAAAATGAAGATGTAAAGGCAAACCAAATTTAATTCAGCATGAAAACAATACTTTGGTAGAGCTGTGCCACAGCTCAAGTGCACAGGAGTGGGATTTTGAGACTCTGCTTCTTCCATATCCTATGTAGAAAAGACTTTTAAGCAAGTTGAGCATAACAGTGTTTGCTTGCAGTTCGAAAGCTCAGGTTTCACAATTAGATCCTCTTCCCTGGGCAGTTCCTGATAGGAAAATGTTAAAATAATGAAATACCTAAATATTTTCTGTGTCATCTGCCAAAGAAAGCCCTTTTTTCCTTATCTCCTATATATGGACAAAAAGCGTTCTCCATAGTCAGAGCAGCCAGCTTCAGCTGATGAGTAACTTTAGTGAGAAAATTCTCTTAAAAATTTTATTAAGAAGTTTTTCAGAAGGGTCAGATGGATGTGAGCTACACCTTATCTCTGCTCAGACTGTTTGCAGAGCAGTTCAAACTACACTGTCTATGCCTGCCCCTCAAGTATCTGAGTTACATTTTAACACTAGAAATTTCAGAGAACCTGCCTTGTGATGTGCACCAGCATGCATTAGATCAATTTAGACAACACACAGAGGAGGAGTTTTCAGGAATGATAGCACTAACTCAATTTTGCAGTTTAACTTACTGCCATGAAATGTTGTGAAGCCAATGTCCAAAAGCTGACAATGCTTATAGCAAGGCAAATTTGAAAACATTTCAATGTCTTGAGCTGATTCTCATTTTTACAAGCTATTAAAATAACTTACCTTTTTTTTGTGGCGTTCAGCCCAGTTGTCAAACAAACCTTGCCCTGCCAACCTAGTTCTTCACTGACAGCAAAATAAAGGGTTACCTTTAAGCCAATCTAATTTTTCTGCTTTGATACTGGGGTGCCAAGTTCTTAAGACAAGCACAAAAAGCCCTTAATCAGAGGGAATTAAAATATTTGGAACCACAAAAGCAAGACTCATGAGACTTAACACTGCAGTAACGTTGCAGTGCTGGAACATTATTACAGCACATGTACAGTATATTGCAGTGTATGTCCACATTTAGATGCTGTATATATATGCTGTAATATTTAGATTACAGCATAAAATAATGTTGGTTTTTTTTTTCAAAAGCTAATGCATTTATCTACTTAGTTTAAAAACTAGTTTCTGCCCTTCCTTAGATAATCCAAATGAGACTGCTGTTAAGACACAAAGCTTGGTCCAACAAGCATTTGCCAAACAGCCAGCAAAGGGAAAACAGTCCTAGATTCTGCAATTACTGGCAAGCTCAAATGATGATCAGCTTACATAATGCATGAAGTGGATGCCTATCCAAAACCACCTATCTCAATTAAGGTTTTGCAATGAAACACAAAACCCTAAACCTTTAGTAGTCAAGTGTGCCTTGACCATTTATGTTCACAGCAGCTGTTAATCACCTTTACAAAGGGAATACTGTTAGTACTTCCATAAAAATATTTCAATCTATATTTTCAGAAGAAATGAAAAGGACCTCTAAAGGAGCTTCATCATCTCCCACAAGAAAAATCATTTCGGCTCTTTTGAGGAAAGGCCTTTTAGCACTTAAGTTTTTAACTAAGAAAACGCTTCCATGGTAGGTAAAAGATCTGGTATTGTGACACTAATTCCCAGTGTATATGTAAACTGCTGGATTGAACTTTGTCTCTCAGTATCTCTCACTGAAGATCTTGCATTACACAACTGGTCCAAATTTGACCAGCAACATTCTGGACAAGCTTTAAGAAATCAATATTAACAATAAAAACCTAATACTGCAAGCTTTCTGTTTATGTTTGTCTAAACGTCCTCTATTAACTGTGTATTGGAAAAAATGCCCCTCAAGCCAGTATGTAACACACCACCTACCCTACACACCACCACCAGACTGTGATGAATACAACAGGGAGCTGCAGTACGACAGATGAGATTGTCTAGAAATATCACATAGTTTTGCAGCAACTCCCTTGTACAGCAACTAAATGTTAATGTTTCGAGAAGCACTAATGAAGAACAGTCAAAGTGCATCAAGTGTGATGTTTTATGAGATAACATCGCCCATTACAGATGAGAGCAGTTCTGGTGGTTTATCACTGTGTCTAAGCAGGCTGTCACTACAAGTACCATACCCAGCATGGGAGAGAGCACATTATTGTCTTCGCTTCCTGAGTTTAAAAAGACATCAAGTGCTTCCTGGTCAGACATGTCCATTAGGTCCATCTGCTCCAGCATGTCCACGTTCACCTCCATGGAAGACATACTTCCAATCGGTTCTGCAGGAGAAACAGCACAATGAGCGAACAGACCATCAGCTACACGAGGTTCTTGCCTACCAAGGCTCCAGAGGCTGCTCTAATTGTCTGCAGCAGCAATAATTACACTCTAGGAATGGAAAGGAGCCCATCCACAGGAGCTGCTCAGCAGCAACCTCAGCCCAAATCCAAGAGCACTCTGTGCAATCTTTGTTGTGAAAGTAACATCCATTACTGCTTTTGTAAACCAAAACATTTTTAGCAGCAGTATTTATAGCAATAACTTTCTCAGAAATAAGCTGAGATGGGACTCAGGTGCAAGGATTGAAACTTTCCATTTCGGAACACTCCTTTCAAATTTCTCAACCAGAAGTCTTTTTAGAGAAAAACAAACATATTTAAGGACACAGCCACTAAATGTCAATATATAAGGGACACAGAAATTCAGAAACTAGGATTAATGTTAACAGAGAGCAGCTGTTCTTCTCTCAGTTAATCTAAGAAATTACAGCAGTCTCTAAAACCCAGGCTCATGCCCAGTATCTTCTCTCAGCATGGGTAATTCACATTACTAATTACTCAAGCATATTACTTATTACTGTTGATACAGTACTGACAATTTGCATGGGAAGCAATTACTTAGATTAGCATATTCTTCTTTGAACAGCAAAACATATGAACAGGAAACAAGTAAGTTCAGGGTCACTCAGATTTAAATCCAGCTGCTGCATAATATCAAATTATTACAATGAACAGTTTACTTGTTTATCTAAACATAACAATTACATTATTGAAAGCCTTAATAGGTGAACTGAGATGAAATTCTGGAATTTGACCGGGGGAATTTTTTTCAAATATGCTACAGATCCAAAACTTTAATTAAACAGTTTCTTTGATACACTTGGGCTCCACAACATCCTAAAAAAATGAAGTTCCAAATGTTAGGCAGCATAACACACTAAAAGAGCTGTGTGTCCAGTACCAGCCCAGGACAATGTCCACTTTTAGTCTAAAAGACAACATATTACAGAAAGCAGGGGACTCAAACACAGTTCCTTCCTTGACCAAATTTACATATCCCACCTCTCCTTAGCCACCTATGCAGAGCAACTTGTAGATGAGTATTTATAGCTCTCATGCAGAGAAATGGAAACCCTGGATTGTATTCCCCACTCTGACATTACAAATTATAGCAGAATTGCACTTGGAGCAAGGACAGAATATCTACACTTTTTCCTGCCACATGAATGCTTAATTTCTCACTGGCTACCTTACCAGTCCAACAATCCCTGCATTTTGGCCTAACAGATGGAAATCTTCCACACAGAATTCCCTGTCATCTCTGACATTCTTGTGCTTTAACCAGTCCAGAGATGCCAGACTTGTGCCATTTCTTAATCAGGAGAACACTTAATGTGACCTCCTCTGTCCCAGTCACATCCAGTGGACATAGCTGCCACCTGGGAACTACTCAGAAATGCTACTGAACTTTTCTCTGCACTTCACAAAATATTCTGAGGCATCTCCCTGGCAATCCCAGGTTTTGGAACTCCAGTGGACAAAGCAGCTGCCTCCATCCATATTTTTACATATATGCACTCTTCAGCTGCAGAGAAAAATGTTGTTCCACATGTAGTTCAGTGCTCTGCGTTTTCTCAGACAAGAAGCAGAGCCTGACTAATCTTCTAAGGTATCCAGTACCCCTGGGACACAAAGTTTGTTTGAAAGGCTTATCTGAAGTTCCAGTTCTACTGGGGAAGAATCTGGACATTTTTGCTGTGCTTCCTCTGTAAGCACTGCTGGCTCTGCCCGCTCAACAATGCTCTCCCAGCTGGGAGTTTGTGCAAAAGGTATTTTACAACTTGCCTCTCCTCTCTGCTATCTGCAAGTAGCCCGTGGAAAGGTATTGCTCCATGTCCTGCTGGAAGGCTTCTTCGAAGAACTTCTGGCGCTCCTTTAGCTTCATCTGCTGCGTGTGCTCCATGTCCAAAACCTTCTGTGCATGTTCAGCATCAAGTTCAGCTGAGCATAAAACAAACAGACAAATCAAATATTGAAGGTGTATCCCCCCCACCTCAGAATTTAAAACCTACAGAACCAATTCAGTAAATTCTGACAGACTGTTACTTAAATAACAGAAGCTCCCTGTGCTTTGCAACTGCATTTTAAACCAGGATGGGAATACTGTATTAGATAGCATAACCTTCACATTAAAGTGATGTTGGAACCTTTTTATCTTGAGGCAAGATGCACATTTCCTGAGCTGTATAAACAGGAACACCTGAGAACACTGTCCATCAGCAACTGGGATTTCAGAATTCTGCCAAAAACACCTGAGGTAATGATGCTTCTGCAGTCATATGCACCTAATGCACACAAAAACAACACTTTTCATTTGAATAGTGCTGCACATGTCCACCACAATGCAGGTGGCAAGATACATATATATACATACATACATACATATAAATACACATACATAACATATGTGTGTGTGCATGTGTGCCTGACATTCTGGCTTTGTCAGCCTCCAGACAGAATGGAAAAATTCCTTGAAGAATCCTACATGTACGTGCAGCAAAGGAAATATTAGACAGAATTAGGAAATGTTGGACAGAATATCATTAGAGGAACTCCTTCCCCTCTGTTTTACTCTACACTGGACAGAAGGGAAAAGAATTGTGTTGTTTATTGCAGAATAACATCTTCTACGATAAAAATACGTAGTTGCTATTGAAGCACTGACTGCAGCCAGACTGTTAGAACATGCTTCAAAACAATTGTTTTTTAGTAGGAATATATAACCTGGAACCCTTTTCCCAGAGTTCTCTGTTCACTTTTCTGGTGTCATGAGTGCTCTGCTTACAACAAAAAAGGAATTTTCCAGCTGAGCTACTGATGGAAGGGACAGGGGTTGCAAGAAGAGATACTGGTCTGTTCTGTCCTGCCCATTAGCGAAAGCTCCAACAAATACTGCTGGGTGAAAAATGTCCAAGTTTTCACATGCCAGACAGACACAGCTGGAATATGGCATCCACATGGATAAATGCTGAGGGAGCATAAGGTTTTCTAGGACAAGCATTGTGTCAGCCTTCCAGGAAAAACGTTATGTTTAGTGATATTCTACAACACGGACATTCATTAAAAGCATTTACTATTATGGAGATTATTGCCCAAATGCAGAACATGTTTTATTAAACCAGGCAAAACATCAGAGAGCAGTTAATTTACGCTGTTGTCTGCATCAAGGTCACAGACCATACACAGAAGCAACTGAACTGTGGCTGATGCCAAAAGAAGCCAGGAAACTGGACTGACACACCAAATAGTCATTAAAGTATCAGTAAATAAGCAGCAATCTCTTTTTTAAAGGAGATTTCAGAAGTAAAACATCAGTGTATAAAAGGAATGCATCTTCCCTGAAGGCAGCATGTCTTTATTATCAATTACACTGTGGTGTACGATGACTCCATGTCCCCTGGAGCAAATCCTTTACTGCAGTCCTGGATGATGAGCAATTATTAATAAGATGGTCTATGATGCAGAAATGCTATTCAATTGTAATAATAAAAGCCAGCAGCTCTCACTGACAATAAGAATTTTCTGTCTCTCTCATAATATATTCTGACAGTTTTGCACTCTAGATTGGTAATTTGGGTTATTTTTAGCCCCAAAACATCGATGGCATCCAAGTAGCATGAGACTGATACAATCTCTTTCTTGACATTTAGCTCTTTGTTTTTAACTTTAGACTAAAACATCCTGTAAACTGTTGAAATTGTCACTGGCCAGAGCTGAATGCCAACAGCTGCCTGCTGTGCTGGCAGGTTCCACAGCAAACTGTAACTACATGAGCTGAAGAGCTGTCACAGACTTGTTCTCCAAAGTCAGATAGAGAGTTAACATCTAGAACCTTGCTGCACGATTTCACGCCCTGCCAGGTGTAGTAAGAAGTGCTTGGCTAAGCAAAACCAAACTGCTGCATTTCAGTTTTCTGTTTGTTGTCAGAAATGCTAAGGATGGGAGGTGAAGCCAACCATCAAACATGAAACTGAAGAAAACAGGTGTACTGTTTCTTTCACAGAGATACTCAGAATTACATTTTCCCTAAGCCAAGTGTAGTTTATAAAACTGAATAGACACAGAACCAAAGGAGTTCCAAGAAAGACAAGAGTATCATCCATATGCCATCATACACTGCTCATACAAATTCCTCCCAGGAGGCAAACTGAGACTTGGCACACTTAAAATAGTATTGTATTTTTCCTTTCACCCTAAAACTGTACTTTTCAATTAGCAATGGCACCTATTTCTCTATCACACTGTGCACAGAAAAGAAAAAAAGACTGCACAGAAAATGCTAATTCAAAATTAGATGCAGGCATACAGGAATAGCCACAATAACCCAAATAAAAGATGACTAATTCCCCACCAGCTATGACTTTTAAGAGAGCAGACACTAAAAGTAGGCTTTTTTTTTTCTGAAAAAGTGAACACTTGAGTGCTGAGCCTTCTGCACCACACCCAGAACAGCCCCACGGCTCATCCTGCTCACCTCAGGGTACAACCCACAGCCTGACACCCTGCCCCATATCTTCAGTGTTTGAACCAGACACCAGGAGAATCCAAACTCCAAAGGAACAGATGACAATAGCTTGTAACCAGTGTACAAGTGTAACAAGTGTACAGGACACCATTGCCTGGTATCACTCCTAGGCCTGGCTGCCACTTCCTACAAATACAAATTCTGGCACAGTACAGTTGCAAGTTTTCATGCAACCAACAAAGTGACCATTTAATGCTTTAATCTAAAACATTTTCCAGCTATGCACAACCGATTTCCCAAATAAGTTGGAAGACTGACAAAAAAAATAAAATTAAAAAAAAAAAAAAAAAAAAAAAAAAAAAAAAAAAA